TAAAATTCTGATTTCAATATAGCTACAAGACCGACAATTGAGGTTTAACAAAAGAGACAAAATATTCACAAAAACTTTATGCAACGAGTCGTTAGGCGAATGTTCAGATAGGCCACAAATAACCGCTAAAGCATTCGTCTTAGCAAATTGAATGGAAATCCCCAAATCAAAAAGCATAGCGAAGCCCAAACCTGAGGGCAAGAGCTTCTGCTGCGAAATATGAAAAGGAGCCTTGAATGCGAAATTCAAAAGCCGCCCAGCAAACACCTTCCGAGTCGTCAATCCATCCTCCCAATCCAATCCCTAAATCTCAGACTGCGGTATCACAAAATAACGTGAGACCATTCTGACAACTCCCAGGGCCAATCCACCGATCTATTGATGGTGTAAGCATAGCACGGTCGGACAAGAGACGTCCCGAACGCCATTTTGAGATCTCTTCTTGCCACGTCAATCCTAATGACTATGCTTGTTCCACTGATTTACCTTGTGGCCCGTGTTTAAGTGGTTCATTTCATTCCAAATAATCCACAACAAAGAAGCAAAATTTGGAAAATCATCCCCTCAATCACAACCTAGTAACTTACAAAAGATTGAAGAGAAGCACAAACCTCGTAATGGAGCAAGAAAATCCCACCAACCTGCTTAGCCCAACCGCAATTAAAAAAAATATGAACGTAAGATTCCCAACCCGAACATCTGGGACACCTTGCATCCACCTCGATATGTCGCCTAACAAGATTTTCCGCGGAGGAAATTGCCGAGTTACACACCCTTCAGAGGAACATTTTAATCTTTGGTAAAATCTTCAATTTCCATAACACTTTCCACCACCCGTTTTTGGAAGAAGAAGTTGATTCCATGGACTTGGATGATTTATATTTTAGCAAATGGTATCCACTCTTCACTGTATAATCGCCGTTTTTGGAGTAGTGCCAAATAATACGGTCAGGATTAGGAGTCGAGCTAAGAGGGATTGAGAAAATTTTGAGCCAGTCAATTGGCAAGAAATACGATTGATCAACTCATGGTTTCAATCCCCATTCCTCCCAACCAATTTGAATAAAAACGATGTTTTTATCCATACGAGTACATTTCGAATAATTGAGAATCATAGTTGAATAGTGAAAGCGTATCTGAATCAATAGACGATTGATTTGGGGATTTGATTTGTTTTTAGGCTACACGAACGCAATACTTTTGGGACATCCTTAATTTTTTCCATACATTCTCCATTGATTATAAAGAAGAGTATAAGATATATGTCTTAGGACTACAAAACTATACATAATATAGTTTTATTGGTAATCCCTATTTTTGTTCATCACTACATATAGAATGTTCAGTGGTCTCAAGACTCATACTTAGCCATGTCAAAACAGGCTAAAGCCCGAGGGCTGAGTCGTCTGCCATTCTACACGTACGGGCGGGCCTGGATATTAAATCCCCCAGTCCATTTAAATGCGGGCCAAATTGGTTTGCTCCGTTAGCTCGCGGCTAATGCGAGCTGACACAAGAAAAAATAAAGTAGAAAGTTCAGTCCAACTGTCGAGTCATCATATTTGTGCTAACAAGAAGCATAAATGCTCAACATTTTCAGTAATTTAGATTGAAGCCTCATTCAAATTTGTGCAATCTTAACACTGAATCTTCACTGGCGTCGCCCATTTGATAGCCACCAAGCGCCAACCCACAACATTGGGTTGTTACGATTACCAGTGGGCTTGGGGAGAAAATTAATAGAGATGATTGCTTCTGAGTGAACTAACAAATGGAGCACAAATCCAACGCGCACGAAGGAGGAGAGACCATCAAGAATCCAGCTACTAGCAGCACGTTGAAGAGGGCCGAGACGGCGAAATGATGAAGGAGATCACTAAGCCCATGTTTGTTTATCAATCAAAATTAGATAGGGATTAGAACATATGACATTCTACCATTTAAAATATTGATTAATTTTATAGATGGTTTTGACTCTTATCAAGGAGCATCATAGATAATTTAGACTCATGTAAAGGAGCATAAAGAATTTAAGATTTAAGACAGTTTTATCCTATCATTATCTGGGGATTCAAAAAGTTGTTGCTCATATTGAGTAATTTTATTGTTAGTTTAAGATCTTATCAAGGAGCGTTATATATAGTTTAACCTCGTATCAAGAAGCGCGCATTGTAGATAGTTTAGGCTCATATCAAGTAGCATTTTTGGACTGTTTAGGCTCATATCGAGTAGCATTGATGATTTTCTTTGGTGGAAGCAATTCATATAAATTGCCCCCATGAAATTTGAAAAATTCGTTGATTTTTGGCGGCTTCATG